CCCCCCCCCCCCCCCAAAAGAATCCTCATTTCCTTTCAATTTCTTCAGAAATCCGCCCTACCCTCCCCAAGCAAAGGCCGCTCTGCACCACTTCATCATAAGCCACCAACCTCACAAAAAACACACAGAATTCTCACCTCATCTTCCCCACAACCTTCCTCACCCTACCCTCCCTCCCAGCAAAAGCAAAAGATACAATCGCCGCGGGCCCAACTAAAAAGGCACTTCCTGCAATGCATATCCCCGCAACTATTGGATCCCTGAAAATGCTGGGCTGCTTGTATAACGCGATATGCCGTTCACGCTTCATCAGTGGTTCGAGAAGTGCGTATGCGTAAACACCACATGTTATAGTGATAACAAGGAAATCGAATTGCGTGAAGAGGTGTGCGCCCATTGCGAGGCCGGTGGGAGTGGATTGGTCGACGGTAGTGTGCCAGGGGAGGAAGACAGTTGCGAATGAGATGGTGGGGTTAGTGCTGAAGAGGGAAGTGGATAGGGTTGAGAGATGTGCGGTGGCTGCGATGAGTCCAGCGAGGAGGTAGGAAATCTTTAGGTATTTCTTCTCCGTCGATTTGGAATCCCTTTGTTTCACTAAAGCGGTGACGGCTAATGAGTTGGTGATCTGGACAAGCGAGAAAAGTAACGGTGTTACCTGGAATAGGGCAATCCAGCCTTGTTGCGATTCGGTTGCGGCGTTCAGAATTGGTGGTAACATGAGCATCGAAGGAAATGTAGCTGATATGAGAATAGTGATCGGCAGCGCTTTTGCCTCGTGTTCATTCAGACCACTATCGCGCCGCGAAGACTCGTTCCTAAGGTGTCGATAGCAATAAATGGGAAGGATGAATGCTGCACCCAAAGCATTCATCATGACACCCCATAACGCCGGAGTCCTTATTTCACCACTTGTCAACACTAAAGTCTATTTCAGACAGATGTAAACTTACAAAACAGACCATCTCGATCGATTATACCCCCTTCTACTTTCCACCAGAATCCAGAGGACGACGACTTGGAGTATGATTGCCAGATCACAGAAGAGTAATCTAGGCCCGGTGTTCTTGCCGTTTGTCAGGTTGTAGAAGAATACTGTGAGGGTGGTGAGGAAGTCATCGAGGGGTGGGATGTGGGTGTAGACATTTCGAAGGGGAGTGTTGTCTGGGAATTTGTGGGCTGCTTTTACTGTGTTTATTGCGTCGAGTGTTCCGTTTATGGCCATTCCGCCCCAGAGTAATGCGAAGCCTGCAATACTGAGTGCGAGAAATGAGGCGTGGAGGATTCTCATGTTGATGGTGGTGTTGTTGACTTCTGTTCGATATTGGGAAACTGTATCGAAGACTGAAAAAATACAGAAGTCTACGAGAGAAATTACACAGAATGCTCAGAGTAATCCGTACCTCCAAAGTCTTCGAGAGCGTCCTGCCGATGGGAAGTCGAATTTTTTCGGAATGGGTCGACGGGTACGGACGTAAGGTCAATCAATTGCCCCTCTTCGAACACAACTCTGTATGATTTGAACGGTCATCGTAAATCTACCCAATTACATTCCTCAGGATAAAAATTCAAACATTAACAAGTTGACGTTCCAAGGCGGAGAATTACTCCGCGTGGCTGAACGGGCTCGTCTCCGCCCCTTTCTTACCCGACGGCACGGGACATCACGGGACTCCAAGACACGAAACGGCATCGATTTTACTGTACTCGCTTAGCACTGTCCGAAGAACTGTGAAGGGTGGAATATACGGGCTTTGTGGTTCCGTATATGCTATTAATTCTTATGGAGGCTAAGGTAGTGCTGATTGTCAAAAAGAGGACATTTCATTGCAAAGCCTCAGAAGACCAAAATTTCATCATCATCCAACATGAATAAGGAAGAACACTTCGATGTTGTCGTCGTTGGGGCTGGTGCGTACTCTACCGGCTCCTATCCACAAAATATTAACATGACCAGGATGGAACGGCCTCATCTCAGCAGCCACCTACCTAAAATTCGCCCCATCAACAAACCTCATAATCCTAGACGACGGCTCAACCATCGGCGGGGTATGGAGCAAAGAAAAGATCTACCCCGACCTATTCGCTCAAATAGGCCACGGTCTCTTCGAGTACTCCTTCTACCCCATGAAGAAAGAGAATATCTCCAAAGACCGCTATATCCCAGGTGAAACAATACACAACTACCTCAATTCCTTCGCCGTGGACCATGGTCTCTCCATGCGGACACGTCTTCGAAATAGCGTCACTACCGCAGAAAAAGAGGATGATGGGTGGAGACTGACGATTGAAGGGAAACCGGATATTGTATGTGAGAAACTTATCTATGCCACGGGTGCAACCTCCAAACCATACGTTCCAAAATGGCCTTCAGAGGGGTTCACGAAACCAGTAATCCACTCCTCAGCCGTGGGACAGAACCTCTCCGCTCTCCAGAATATCTCGCACGCAACGGTAGTCGGGGGAGCGAAATCCTCTTACGATACAGTCTTCATGCTTCTCAAAGCGGGCAAAAAGGTCGACTGGATCATCCGTGCGGACGGGAGTGGACCGCTAGCCATCATGCCTCCGAGGATGTTTAAAGTGTTCAATACCGTGGATATCATGGCGACGAGGGCGATGTCCAAGTTCAGTCCTTGTATCATGCAGACCAAAGGGATCTGGTATCGGTTTCTGCAACGGACGAAGGTGGGAAGGGCGTGTACGAAGGTATTTTGGAGGAACGTTACCAGAATTGCAGACATGCATGCTGGGTATTCGAAGAGTGAGAATGCCGCGAAGTTGCGGCCTGTTCCGTCTGGTTATGGGTAAGAATCTCTTTCGCCATTTCAGGAAGTGGAAGGAAGCGAGTTCTGACAATCCACCTAGGATCTTCTGGGCCAATGCAGGTCTAGGACTAGCCAGCGTCCCGCATTTCTGGAAAGTCTTTCACGCAGGAGACGTCACGGTTCACCGCGCAGATATCTCTCGCTTCGAGGCGGATAACATCCTCGTCCTAAGCAACGGCACGAGAATCCCAACCGACCAAGTAATCCTCTGTACGGGCTTCCTCCCCAACCTCACCACCTTCAGCGAAGACCTCCGTACACGGTACAACATCTCATCCCAGCTCGATAGATCCCCCAAAGCAGCAAAATTAGACGCACTAGGCTCGCAAGTCGTTGATGAACTTCTCCCACTGCTGCAACATCCACCAGATACCAATATCGCGCCGCCCACCAAACGACCCAGCACCCTCTACCGTCGCCTCATCTCACCAGCGGCAGCCGCGGAAGGAGATCGCTCGGTGTTTTTCCCGGGCTTGATACATTCCGTCTTCACGCCTTTAGTCGCGGAGTTCCAAGCACTATGGGGTGTTGCATTCATGCTGGGACTGATTGCGGTGCCGAGTGAGGAGGCGATGGAAGTCGAGGTTGCGACTTGGAATGCGTGGTCGAAGAAAAGGTATTTGGAGCAGGGGAGGAAACATGCTTATGCTATTTATGATTACTTGTCGGTATGTAGTACACTTCTTTGGTGAGTGATGAAATAGGGCTTTTGCTAATGTGTGATGCTGTAGTATATCGACACACTCGCTAAAGACCTAGGCATAAAAACCAACCGGAAAGGTAATCCGATATCCGAGATGTTCTCACCATATAGACCACGCGATTATCGGGGGTTGATTGATGAATTTCTTGCAGCGCAGCAGAGGGATGGGAAGGTGAAGTTGGATGGACATTCACATAATTCTCAGGGGTAATAAATCCTGATCTCGCATCTCTTAGAAGATATTTACTATAAAATGTGAAGGTATATATTAGGACACATATTTGTCTTGGTACTTACTATGTAAACCACGGGATTTAAGGCAGTTCATATAGACAAAGTTGGTAATAAAACTTTTTTTCGAATTATTTAATTTATAGTAGGGATAATAATCTAAAGGGTTTTTTATACCTACGACTAGTTATAGTATATTTTAATTCCTACTTTTAGAATATTTCGGCTAGTATATATCGGGTAGTTTATAGGTTATTACGGGTACTTTCTATAACTTAAGATTTGTAAACTTTATAAAATAATAGTTTATAATTTAAAGGGAAAAGAAGTAATTTATTCCTCTTTTTAAGTATTATAAGCTAAAGAACAATAGACCTTAGAGCCTATATAAGTAACGCTAGGCCCGATCTAGAACCTTTAATAACTCTATTTTACTTATAATATTTATCTCCTTCTCTAATATCTCGAAAGCTAAGATAGTTAGTATTTTCTATTATTAGATTACTTAGGGAATCTTTTAAGTAGATTAAGAACGTATATAACTTTTTTACTATAAATATCTAGTATATAGGGATTTAAAGTACTAGTTTCTTGTTAAAGAATCCCTCGAATAATCTAGGAAATAAAGTAACTTATAAGAAAGGAAATAAGTTACTTATACTTTAGAATACGTTAGAGAAGCTTTAATTTTATATAAATAAGTAGGTAAGTTTATTATTAAATAAAGTTTATATACTAATATTCTATAACTTTTATAATTATTTATAGGTTCCTATGGCTATTTATAGAACTAGTAAATACTAAATAGTTTCTAAAAAGTAGGAAATAAAATATTCTAAAACAAGTTATAGTTATATTAGACCCTATAAATTATAAAACTAAATAGAATTTAAAATAATTCGAAAAAAAGGGTTTATTACTAACTTTATTTATATAAACTATCTTAGGAATTATTAAAGGTTAGTGAATAAATTTCTTCTAGTATAAAACCTTTTATCTAATAATATTCATATAATTCTCGAGGGTAATTAATTCTAATCTTGTCTCTTAGTACTTTTTATACTTAAAGTTATCTTATATCCTAGAAATATAAGGTTATTAAATCTAAATTTAGATAACTTATTAATAATTGAAACCCTTATAAATTAGCCTAATTTAAGAATTAGCCTCTAAATTTAGATCCGAGTATATAAGAATAGGGTATATAAAAGGAGTAAAAGTAGACTATTTTTACTAGAAAGACTACTAAAGATATATATAAATAAGTACTTAATTTATTAAACCACTATCTTTCTCTTCTATCTAAATAAGAGTATAACTATTCTTAGGTATTTCAGTAGTATATAGAGATAGTTGTAACGAATACTCACGCTGGCTAACCAAACTTGGCTGGGTGTTGGCTGGTTGGTATGTGTAACGAATACTCAAACTGGCTAACTAAACTTGGCTGGGTGTTCGCTGGTTGGTATGCTATGATAAGAAGAAGACTATCGGGTTGTTCACTTGGAAGTGAACTCGTTACTTGTATCAAAGATGTCAAACTAATATGATAAGATTGATAACTAAGTTGAGCACGAAGCTCCTATCTAATGGCAGACGTGCCAGTCTTATATAGATCCTTCGTTCTCCTTAAGTCACAAAGTCGACAACGACTTTGTCGCCCTGCATATATCACGTGACCCTCTACATGTGAAATCCTTGGATCGCTTAGCTACTCTAAGCATCCCTATTTGCTATAACTATCCTGATGTGCCTGTCCTGTCGGAACGCCGTCTGGACTAACTCATCACATGACGCGGGGCATGCCCTTTAGCACGTGATTCGTGACAGTATGCTATGATAAGAAGAAGACTATCGGGTTGCGGCAGCCAAGGAACCTGATATATGTCAAAAGATCAAGTAAAGCACTTCTTTTACGCTATGTATATAGTTGTAGATAGAAGCCAGACCGCCCAGGGGAGGAGGCTGCTGGTCACTGTATAGTGATGAAGTGAAGTGCGCTTACCAAATGCGGTAAGCGTACTTCGGCAGCTGCGCCGAAGCTGGACCACTCCGGCATAGCCGCCCTACGGCGGGCGGCTGGAACCGAGTATGAATAAATCAAATCAAATCAAGACTATCGGGTTGTTCACTTGGAAGTGAACTCGTTACTTGTATCAAAGATGTCAAACTGATATGATAAGATTGATAACTAAGTTGAACGGGTTGTTCACTTGGAAGTGAACTCGTTACTTGTATCAAAGATGTCAAACTGATATGATAAGATTGATAACTAAGTTGAACACGAAGCTCCTATCTAATGGCAGACGTGCCAGTCTTATATAGAACCTTCGTTCTCCTAAATCAGTGCTCGTCGCTCTGATCCTTTCTGATTCCTCAGAGGTCGTCAGGCCGACCACCTCTGATGCCAGTCGATCATGTGACAGTAACCAAAGGAAATCCCTGGACCGCTTAGCTAGCCTAAGCGTCCCTATTTTCCTAGAAGAAACCTGGACGTGCCTGTCGAGGGTTGCGCCTCTTTATTATGACAAGTATCACGGAGCACGTGATTCGTGACAAACTGCTTATTACCTCCTAATACCTTATAGGTCTATTATTAATAATTTTAATAGTAGTTAATCTTAGTACTCTTTACTGTTATATTTATATCTAAATCCTAGTTTATTACTATAGCTTTAATTCGCTTAATTTTCTCGATTTCTTATTTATTTACCTTAATTACTTACTTCTTAACTATATTATTCTAGTCTTCTTATTATTAAGCGCTCTTCTTCTTATAACCAATTAAATATACTTTAAGGTTATTAATATATAATTAATTAATATTTTAAAATTAAGAAATCATGCTAGTAAATAAGCTAGTTTACTATACTATAAGCTAGTAAAATACATATAAAGTAAATATAAATACTACTATTTTATAATCCTAATACTACTATAATCCTAATACTATCAATAAAAATACTACTATTTTTATTACTATAAAAATTAATTAAATAGTATTTTTATTATTTACTATTATATAATCCTCTAGAGTAATTAACGCTAATCTCCCCTCTCTTATAAAAGCTTTACTATAGCCTCTAGAGGTATATATCAGAATATATATCTGTCTTTCTCTTAATACTTTATATAAATTTAATCTTACTTCTAAACCTACCTAGGTATTTTTTAGCTCTAGCTATAAAATAATTATCGAGGTTAGTGTCACGGATGCCAACAAAGGATAAAGTGTTTACAGCTTTTGAATCAATTGCTAGAACTAAAACCGTAGGTACGAAGAAATCAAACTAAAGAGAGAAGAGAATCTGAAAGGAGCGAAGTTATTTAAGTTGTTCCAATGCCAAGTCTCGTCACGTGCTTGGCCAAGCGAATGAAATCCTGTCAAATGAAATCCAGCTCCGTCACAGTTAGCAAAATATTAATATAGGATTTACTTTATTTAAATCTAACTTCCTAAACTACCTAGAGTCTCGAGAGTCTAGAGACGAAGTATATAAATACCTATTCCTATTCAAATCCATAGCTTTTAGCTATTATATTATTTCTGTATTATGTCCTCCCTACTCGTACCACGATACATCTTCTCTTCTCTTCTCTATTTCCTTCCTACCTACCTACCTACCTACCTACCTACCCTAAACACGAATCTACATTAATCTACAGAGCGTACTTATCATTCCATATAGAAATCAATTCCAAATTCCAAATTCAGAAAAACACAACGTGACAAGAACAACTCGACGTACTTCGTACCTAAGACTTAAGACTCTAAAACCGGAAGGTCGGAAACTAGAAATATGGGGATACAGGGACATGGACAGGGGTTGTTTGGAGGGGGCGGGGGTGGTGTGGGGTAGGTAGAAGTATACGCTTGGTTCTGCTTGACTAGGGTAAGGAGTTCTTGAGTTGTGGTGTTCTTGAGTTCTTGGGATTCGTATGTTTACGACGGAAGGGTCGTTTATTTGTTTTTTACAGAGTCATGAGGGATTAGTAAACGGGGTGTAGCTAGGAAGAAGTTGGGATGTACGGAGGTATCATGATTCTTGATTCTTGATTCTTGATTCTTGATTCTTGATTCTTGATGCTTGGGATAATGAAGGAAGGTAAAGGGTGGTTGGTTGATTGGGTTTTTAATTTGGGGTATGGGTATTGTTTGAGTTGGATTTTTGGGATGGTTGGATTGGGGTTGATTAGATAAGATTTGATTGTGAGATGGTTGGTCCAATTGAACACTCGGATTTAATCATAACGCGATTCTTCTACAAGGTTGAGTTAGACTTTTCTGCCCTGACGTTAGATGAGTTGTTACGCCGAACCGAAAAAGATCAAAAGGATGCGTTCTGCTCTCTCATGGGTACGCACGCTCCCGACCTTTTCAGACTCACCGTCTATCTGTCTGGACGCTGCACTGCAGCCAGTAGAAGTTAGTTTGATGTACACCGGTAAGGTACCGGCACCGGGGCAACGTGACTGGGACCAACAGTCGGTCCCGTTCTAGAATCTGGAACTGTGCAGTGTATACTCAAGGTACGCATTCAGGGGAGAAATTCTCCGTACCCAGAGACTCCGGATGGCTGTGGTGCGCTGTAGTCTGCAGAAAGAGAAAAAGATTGAGGCTCTGTGGGGAAGGGGAATTGGATGAAGGGAGGGGACGAGGTGAAACGGAAGGGTACTTCGTAAGTTTGTTGTTCTCTGTTCTTGGGAACGGGACTTCTTGTAACGCGATTTCCCCACAAGGGTTCATGCACATGCAGGTCTGACAAGGGCTTATTTATTCCATTGGGATTCCTCTCGAGATGTTCTGGAAGGTGGAAAGGGGGAGGGAGGGTAGGGGAGATCGGGTGATTCTCATACCGGTAATAAGTAATACGCACATGTCTGAGCGAACGTTTGCTTGGGTTACGAGATGGAGAGGGAGATGGAAATGTGACAGTCTTGAGCAAATTACGGCGGTAATATACGCCGAGGGAGGTGTATACTGCGCCTCGTATGTTTTGGGAAGGAGAGAAGAGATGGAGGCTTGTTTTTTTGGATTTTATAGTTTAAGGTGAGGTGGGGAAGTGGTGATTGCGTTGATTCGTGGGGAAGGTTTGCATGATGATTGACTCGACTCGTTGGTAGCCAAGAGGCTCTGACTTTGTCGTCGTCTCGACTCTGTGTGGACTTGAGATGATTTTGAGGACGAGGAGACGAAAGATGGGATAGATGTCGGAGAATTCAGATGGTGACAGTGCAGTACAGTAGAAAGGTGACGTCTTAAGGAGATGGATGGGTGGACGTTGTTGTTGGTATTGACCACCTACGACTTTTATCACCTGCAATTCAGACCGTAACCTTAACCTCAACACTCCTTGGAGGATTTTGGGCGGTTTGAGAAACAGGTCGGATGAAAAAGTTCAGATGTGAGGTTCGCATCTCGATGGGGGAATGGCATTGCATAGAGAACCTGTACGAAGAGTACTGGTAGGAAAATGTATGGTTGACACGGTGACACCTCCGATTCATGCGATGACGACGGAACATTAACTTTGATGGTGTTTGCTTGTTCAATGTACGGAGGATTCTTATTCTTATTCTGACTTCAGACTTCCGACTTCGTACCTGACCGTATCTTGACTCTTGAGGCAACTGTAAATGCTCACGGGTAAATGTTGGGATGGGAGCACTGAGCAGGAAATTGGTGGAGGGCATCGAATATTGGATTTGTGATGAAGCCAGATCAACCCGGGAGGTGGTCATGCTTATTTGCTTGTTGATGGCTCGTGGGTGGTGGCCCGGTAAGATTGCGGTGGGTGGGCTGGGTGGACTGCGTGGACTGCGTGGACTGCGTGGACTGCGTGGACTGCTGGAGCTGATGTGCTGGCGGGAGTCTTGATGCTTCGGACCAGTACCGAGTACGGAGGGACGTACGGAGACCTCTCCTCATGGTATCGTCTAACCCTAAGGCCGTTTGGGAGAGGGGTACGAGAAGGATGAATGGATGCATCGAGGGGACATGGAGAAATCAAGATGGGTGGTGTGTAAAACTGCGTATATGGAATTTCCCCCACGATGTTCTAGAAATGTAGCTCTTCATCTCTCACTTAGTGTCAACCAGCACGCCGCCTCCCCCTATTTCTCCTCCACGCCCGCCTCGACCAGCCTCTGTCATTGGCGCGCCCAGCGTTTCTGGAGGCGGCAAGTGCCTGTCAAAGGCCTGTCAATGCCTGTCGCGCCTGAGACTCCGGTCGAGCGCCCCACTCCCGCACACCGCGAACCCACCCGCCATGCCCAATCCAGCTAGCGCCCAATTTCAGTCGTGCCCCAAGTGACCCTTTTTCCCTTTTCGGTGGGTGTAGGGGGGACCTCAGTGGATGCCTCACTAGGTGCCTTAGTGCCTCATCTCAACTCGCCATGAATTCTTATTGAAGTCAAGCGGTCCCCCAGTGTTGCGACGGTCTCTCCTGCTCCCCCAATCTTTTTTACTTCCTTCGTTGGTTCCCCAGTCTCCCCGTTCGCCCTTCGCTCTCTTCGCTCTTCCTCCCCCCCCCGTGGTCAGCTGATTGTTAACATTCTTTGCTTTGCTTTGCTTTGCTGTGTGTGTGCTCTTTATGCTCTTAAGCTTTCGCCTTCTTCTTATTTGACCTCTACACACTTTATTCAAGACCGGTACGCTCAACCTTCTTTGGCCACTCGTCCGCGACAATACCCAATACCTCTACTTCAAGCCACTTCTTTGTTCTCGAGTATTGCTAGCCCACCACCCATCGCCCCAGTCAGCCTCAATTGATTGATTGCCTTGTTTGCGAAAAAGTCATCTCGACCGAGTTTGCGGAAGAGTGCCCATCCTCTCTCGTAGCTCTCCTACCGACAGCTTCCTCCCTGCGCCCAATCGATCGACGTGCGAATCCCACAGCCATCCGCGAATTTCGAAATTGTATTGAACACAGCATCTAATTGACCAAAGCATCTTATATTCTGTTCTGCCCGACCATCAGACCGCCTCGAATCGTTCGTACTTTCGAATACCTTCGTTCCGCATCTGCCGCGTCCGCAGATTAAGCAACCCTTACTTGGACCGACCCTCAGTTGCTCCAATTGAGCGTCATATTTATCTCTTCAACGACGTGCCTCTCCCAGGGCACATTTAATCCGTCAAAACGGCTGTTCTATCGTCACTAGTGCGGGACAGCGTTGTCCTGCCACCTGCCATCAACACGATGCAGGATACTCAGTCGGCCACCCAGCAAGCTCAACAAGCGGCCGCCGGGAGACGTTTCTCAGCTCATGTCTCGAAGCCTTCCACCACCGACACGGGATTCTCTCATGGAGCATACTCGTCCAACCAAAACCACAATGCGTTGACGGTGGGTGGATATGGGGATAGACATCCACGAAGAGTCAACGTTCCTGCAATCAACACTCAGCCGATGGCTCAAAATGGTCAACCGGAGATGGTTACACCTGGCACTGGCTTCGATATGCAGTTCACCCCCTTGCTGCCATCGCAATTGCTCCTCGGTTCTCCTTTCCAACCGGGTACTCCCGGTACCTTTGCGAGCCCACAGTTCCAAAATTACGCCGCGTTCCAACAGCAAAACGGCCAGGCAACCAGCCCGATCCAGCAACTCTCTCCCCAGATTTACCAGTCTCTGGTCTCTCCCTCCGCTTATGGCGCGCCTCAATTCTTCACCGCTACGTCACCAATGTCTGCCATCTCTGCTCAGGGTTCCTTGACCAGTCAATTGCAGGCCATGTCAATGAACCACCCAACCTCGCCAGGTGGGATGTCCATGTCTGGAGCAATGTCTCCGGGTGGTCTCGGTTCTGGCACTAGCAGAACCGTCTACCTCGGCAATATCCCACCAGAGACATCTGCAGAGGAGATTTTGGGTCACGTTAGGAGTGGTCAAATTGAGTCCGTCCGGCTTTTGCCAGACAAGAACTGTGCTTTCATTTCTTTCTTGGATGGAAGTTCTGCCACTCACTTCCACTCCGATGCTATCTTGAAGAAGCTTTCCATTCGTGGACAGGATATCAAGGTTGGGTGGGGAAAACCATCCCAGGTCCCTACCTCCGTTGCTCTTGCTGTTCAGCAATCGGGTGCTTCCCGAAACGTGTACTTGGGTAACCTTGAGGAGAACGTAACGGAGGAGGAGCTTCGTGAGGATTTGACCAAGTTTGGTCCTATTGATACCGTGAAAATCGTCCGTGAAAAGGCCATTGGATTTGTTCACTTCCTGTCCATCGGTAATGCCATCAAGGCCGTCTCCCAATTGCCCCAAGAGCCAAAGTACCAATCTCCCCGCCGTGTCTACTACGGAAAGGATCGATGTGCTTATGTCTCCAAGACTCAACAGCAGAACGCTGCTCAATACCTTGGTATCGCTCCTGGATACGCCCATGTCCTCAATGGAGCTGATCGTGACTTGATCTCCAACGCTTTGGCTCAACAATCCGTTGCTGCTGCCGCCGTTGCCACTACCGCTGGAGGAATTAATAACCTTGGCAACCGAACCGTTTACTTGGGAAACATTCATCCCGAAACTACCATTGAAGAAATTTGTAATGTTGTCAGAGGTGGACTTTTACACCACATTCGATATATACCCGACAAGCACATCTGCTTCGTCACCTTTATTGACCCGACTTCCGCGGCTTCTTTCTACGCCTTGAGCAATTTACAAGGTTTAATGATTCACAACCGGAGGTTGAAGATTGGATGGGGTAAGCATTCCGGAGCACTTCCTGCTGCCATTGCTCTTGCCGTCAGTGGTGGTGCCTCTCGCAATGTCTACGTTGGAAACTTGGACGAGTCGTTTAGCGAAGAGAGATTGAGGCAAGACTTTTCCGAGTTCGGTGAGATTGAGCTTGTCAACACTCTTCGAGAGAAGAGTTGTGCCTTTGTCAACTTCACCAACATTGCCAACGCCATCAAGGCAATTGAGGCTATCCGTGGTAAGGAGGAGTACCGTCGATTCAAGGTCAACTTTGGCAAGGATCGTTGTGGAAACCCACCTCGTCAGGTCCAAGGTCAGGCAAATGCCACATCCCCTCGCGGTGATGGTGTCGCCTCTCCATCCCCAGGAGGATTTCAACCAAGTCAAAATGGTTCTTCTCCCACTGGATCTGTAGCTCCACCCTCGGCCACTGGACCGGGTCCCAACTTCAATTTTGCTCCAACCCCTTCTACCATTCTCAACGCTGGTAGCAACAACCCTCTCACCATGTACCTTAACCAAGTGTCCCAACAAGCTCACACTCAGCAACAGCAAAACCTTGACCCCTTCTCGGTTGCTCAACTTCAGCAACAGCAACAACAGGTTCTTGCCGCTCAACAGGCTGCACTTTATGGTAGTAGCAGCTCTCCAGTGAGCATCGGTGATCATGACCTTCCTCAACAACAGAGCCAAGGTGGTCATCAACAGAGTGCTAGCATCAGTGGGTTGAACGGGTTCCAAGCTCCATCCAACAGTGGTTCCACCACTATGAATGGATTGCTTGCCCCTGGTCGTAGTCAACATAGCCGTGCTGCCAGCTTGCCAGTCTTTGGTCAACCACAACAGAATGGTTCTGCTTTCCAAGAGCCAACCAGTGCGACCGCTGAGAGACGTGGTCACCAATACCAGTCTTCGTTCTCGAGTGGAATTGGTAACGGGTTTGGAAATGGATTTGGAGAGATGAACAATGGGTTGAATGGTTGGGCTGAGGAGGAGATTGTTGGAAACTGAAGAAGATTTTGAGCTTGAAGGAAAGATGGAGGAGAATTGGAAACCACACTTTTTCTATTATCATTTGACCCTAGGAACTCCTTTTTTTTTTTT